CCCGATTGATCCAAAGTAATTTCATTATTTTCTTTAAATATAATATTTAATTTTATGAAATAAAAAAGTTTTATGATTCCTATGTCTACACCAAATGATAGTATATTAAGATTATAAATTATATATCTAAAGATGAATTATTTATTTTTATTTTATGCATATTAATCAAAAATAAACATAGTAATTTAAAAAAAAAAATCAAGATTAATTGATTGGGTATGCAATTTAAAAAATAATTTTAGCGTGCAATATATATATATATATATATATTTTTAACATGATTGAATTTTTGGATTAGAATATATATATTTAAAATGATTTTATTATTAATATTCAAAAAGAAAAGATGTCATAAAGATTACAATTTTAAAAAGTTTGTAACCATTAATTTAGGAACCATCCGATTTTAAATGATTTATAATTTTTTAAACAGGATACGTCATCTAAAACCCATTAATTTAGGAACCATCCAATTTTTTGGTAATGAATTAAAATTAAAATGTAAAATAAAAAAATTGTTGAAAATAGTATATAATAAATGTGAATTGACTTTTCCTTACTACTATTTATGATAAATATTAATTCTTATTATCTATATATATATATATATATAGAGAGAGAGAGAGAGAGAGAGAAAGGATCATATGAGAATGACTCTTAATGCGAGAAAATGAGAATGACCCTGGATCATTGGATCAATCAAACCAATGGGTATGATGAAGTCAAACTATGGTCAATCATTAATGGCATTCTGGTAATTATTTGATCATAGTGAGGTCAAATATGTATATTTGACTAATAATTAAGGATAAATTAGTCAATACACATACATTTATGTAGGACCCACTCATCAATTAAATAATTATTTTCTCTCTCATCACATCTCTCCTTCCCTAATGTGTCTCTCTCACACACATTCACATACTAAATCTACATCTATCTTTCTCTCTGCACGCACATATCCACCATAGACACACAAACACACACTAAGGGGATCCACCACCACCTGCAGCCGCCCTCTTCCGCCCGCCGCCGGCAACAGGTCGTCCGACACCGTTGCCACCATCCCCAACAACCATCACCAACCGGCCGTCACGCAGGTCCAGATCGGCCACACCTCCGTAGCAGCCAGCCGCCGCCCGCCGCTGAGAGCCGTTGCCAACTTTCGAGTTCCGCCGCAAGTTGCTACCCGCTGCCGACCCCCTGCCGGACCACTCGATTCTGACACCGATCTGTGTCGGACCTCTGCTAGAAGTAGCAGCCCGTCGCCGCCACAATCCGGCACGTCCCGTCGCCGCCGCAACCCGGCCTATCCCGTCGCCGCCACATTCCAGCCACCGCCACACTCCACTGCTGAAGGCTGAAGCCATCCCGTCGTTTCAGACAGCGACCCAGTGTGAGGTGGTCGAGAAAATCCGGGTCACACCTCGATTCAGGCAACCGCCACCGGACTCGACCATGTCGCCATCAGCACGTACATCCGGCAACGGACGTGAGCATCTGCGGTGGGTACGGCTGAATTTTCTAATGGGGATGAGCTGATTTTGGAATTTGGCCCTTTTGGAATTTGGGGGCTAGGTTTTGTAAATTAGACAACTTCTAAGGACATAACTGCAAATTACAAAAATTTACCTTTTTTCAATTTGGTCAGATTTTGGCCAGTTTGTTTTAACTACAAACTATATTAGTTAATATAATTTATTTTTTATTTTGGTTATTTGAATAGAAAATGACATCATATCGAAATAATCGATTTCTAACAAAACAGTTTTATAATTATCGTATTTTTTAGTACGTGCACGTGTTGTTTATACAATGCAACATCATGTGTTAAAAGGTGCAACGAATTACTGTATAAAGTGTAATTTATTTATATATATATATATAGTGCAACACTTAATTTTTTATCTAACATTTTATTTATTTTTTATTAAAAAAATAATATTTTATGTAAAATATAAAAAAATAATATTTTTATATAGTTTGCTCAGTCCGATTATTTTTGTTATAAGGTGCAATGTATTTATTGTATTTTTTAAATGGCAAAAAAATATTAATCGAATAAGAAAATATCATAATTATCGTATTTTTTGGTACGTGCAACGTGTTTTTTTTTATACGGTGCAAAATCCCGTGTTATAAGGCGCAACCCGTATAACCATAACGTGCAATCGCAATACATAAAAATATAGATAAAAAAAATGTTAATTTTCATAAAAAAATATAAGTAAAAAAAAATGGTAGTATTTTTCATATAGTTCATCATGTTTGGTTATTTTGTTTCTTTACAAAAACTAAATCCGACATTTATCCAACTAATACTATTCGATCGATTAGGATAATTATAACAATTTTGGTAGATGTAACGTGATGTTTTAAGGTGCAACATGTTGTGTTATAAAGTGCGATGTATTGTTATATAAAGTGTAATATATTGATATATACGGTGCAATAATGAAATTTTGATACGTTAGCATACATGTGTTTTTTTTATGTGATGGATATTAAAATATTATGTAGATTCCATTTTATAAATTTATATCGAGTAATATTTTGGTGACAACTGTTGATATTAACTGTGGATTGTGGTGATAAAGTGCAACATGATGCTATAGATGATGTGATGGATATTGAATTATATGTAGCATGGTTGTGTTTTTCGCGCATAGATGATGTGATGGATATTAAATTATAATGTAGCTCTGTTTTTTAATTTTATCTTGCGTAAAATTTTGACGGGAGTTGTTGACATTAATTGTGTAGTGTGGTGATAAAATGCAACGTTGTTTTATAAAGTGCAACGTCTTGTTTTATAGTATGCAGTTTGTTGATATAAAAAGTGCAATAATTTATATGATCGCATATAATTTATGTGTTTTTGAAAACTAGTTTAGTATATAATTGTACATCGAATTGAACTAAATAATTTAAAGAATTTATTATTTATTATTATAAAATTATATTGATTATTGTAATATTTTTTATGTATTAAAATTTGAGATATTGAAATTTTCAAACATTATACACTTTATTGATCATTAATATGCATTTATGAGAATATTGGTATAAATTAAACATTTGGTCATGAACTAAATTAGAAAATTCTCAAAATTAATAAAAATTCTCACTTGAAAAAATTATGTTTTTGTAACTAGTGGCCAATCTAATAACAATAATACTAATACTATATTATAACTTGCATTTTCTTCTTCCCCATTGTTTCCAAATAAATATGTTGATTTCCTTGTAAAAACAATAGGAATCTACCTAAAAATAACAAAATTGAGAAGGTAATTAATTTTAAATAAAAGGTACTTCAAGTCTTTGGTGTACTGCAAGTCTTTTGAGTACCCAGCCCAACAACATGGAAACCAAAGTTAATAAATCGGAATCATTTTTTCGGTACTGCAAGTCTTTTGGGTACACAACCCAACAACATGGAAACCAAAGTTAACAAATGGCATTTATACAATATGTTTTAAAAATTACACATTTGACTACTGGACCCAATTGAAATAAAATAAAATTTAGGAAATTGCAATTAAATCCCTAATAGTTATTGAATTTCCATAGTGTATTCCATACATTCTACACAGTAGTTGCGATTAAAAAAGCCCCTAATCCAAATTGTCGTTCTTCACCCCGTCACACCAGCCCCGCCATCTTCATCCGTCCGGCGACGTTTGGTGTTCCTTTCTTCAGCGGCTTGTGGCCGTTGGCCGGCGACTTTCAACTTTTTTTTTTTTTTTAAATTCCGNNNTTTTTTAAATTCCGCCATTGAAGCTCGACCTTCGAGCTTGAAGGTCGTTTTTTTCCGGCGCTGTTGCATCTCAATCGACAAGGTGGAGTAAGAATGACGAAGAAGACGGCGGCGGTTGCCGGTGTGTCGGAGCTTGAAGGTGGAGGATGATATCGGTGAAGTCGAGATTAAGACCGGCGATCTGAATCTCCACCATTTCCGGCGGCAGCTGTACCTTGTGACCTGCGGCGGTGCCTAGACCGACTGTCTGACAAGATGCCGGCGGAAGTCGGGGCGGAGGTTAGGTGCGCCGGAGAATTCACGTGAAATTGACAATATAAAATGAAGGTTGAGGCGGTGGGAGGAGTGAGTGGCGGCGGCGGCTGGAGCTGCCCGACGGTGGCGGAAGGAAGGGCAATAGAGCTTGGTGGCGGCGATTATGGAAGGAGAATAGGTGTAGGGAGCCGATGGAGGAGAGAGAAGGGTGTAGGAGAGATAATATGAATAGTGAGACCATTTAAATGTGAATGAAAAAAAAAAGTCTAATATGCCCTTTATGGTACATATATATTCACTTTTTTTCTACTGTTGGATTATCGGATCTAATAACTAGGATGTATTCTTATTTCTTGCATTAAGAGTCATTCTCACCGGAGCATGACCCTATATATATATATATATATATATATATATATGAGATAAAGGTTTGCATTACAATAATATAAATTTTGTAAATTTAAAGAATCTAAATAACCATATATATCAGTCCAATTACTCCATAATTTTCACCAATGTAAACTAAAGAAATCAATTCTTACTGAATAAAAAGATATATAATCTCAAAATCTTTTCCATTTTTAAACTTTTAAAATATGAGATTCTTTGACCAAATAGCTTTATATATTTACCATAAATTGATAACAAATTTTTTGAATTACCCAATCATTGCCTTCCTATAATGAATGAATTTGCCAATCCGATTCTGATTAGGAAGAAAATTGTTGACAGAAATTTTCTTTCCATTTTTGTAACCAAACTAATTCAAATTTCAAAAGATAATCAGGATTTCATGTTTCTTTTTTTAATATAATTTTCCTTTTTTGTTGTGTCTATGTCTGATGGAATCCCCTGAAGCTGCGTTTGATATCTCATTTGTTTGTAACTTGGCTATCACCATATAATGTACTAACAAAACCAAGAACGACTCATCACTTTCTTGTTTTCCAAAAACAAGAAAAAAAAAAGAAAAAGAGAAACAGAAATGGATTGTTCGACTGAGAAATTCGGCCCATTGACCGGGCGAGGCTACCTTACTTGGTCGAAAAAGATGAAGAGAGTGCTGATGTCAAAAGGGCTGTGGCCCATTGTCGAAAGAGGCTACAAAAAGCCCTTTAACGAGTGGCTCGACTCCCGAGAAATGGAAAAACTGAACAAACTCATAAAGAACGATTCCAATGCTCTGAGCCTCATTCGCCAGTCTCTCGCGCCACAAATTTTGATGCTGGTCGTGAACGCCGACACTGCCAAGGAAACTTGGGACAAACTACGTGACCTGTTTCGCAAAATGCCCAAAGCCGAGGTACTTTGTTATAATAAATACTTGTTACTCAAACAGTTAAAGTTGTTACATATTTTGTTTTTCTTCATTTTCAAATATGTCAGACCTTCACCGGAGAAAATGCTAATGGAATGCCTCTTTCGGGAGATAAACCGTTCTTCGACATTTGTCTGGTTAAATCGGCAGTTCAGCCTACTTGCCTTCTGGTAATTAATTCAGTAGGTAATTATATTTTTCATGATTTGGTACACTATAATGGTGATTGGGCATTATTTATTTATTTATTTTCCTTTTTTGGTGGTATCAGACATTTCCGAACGAAGTGGGTAAAATGTTGCCTACGACTTGTGTCACGGCAAATGTGAAATGTTTGGGGAAGGTGTACAAAATAAACTTCAATGGGGAAAGGAGGCAAAAATGTTTGAGCTCTGGATGGAGGCAGGTGGTGATTGAACATGGTCTTTCGGAGGGCGATTTTGTCGTGTTTGAAATAGTCGAGTGCAGCAGTTTGCGGCTCGATATCAATCTTCAGGTGCTGAGGAATGTCATTCCACCAGAATTGGAAGACGAGATTCGAAGGAGGGAGGCTCATATGGTTGAACTCAATTGACGATAAAATTAGCTTAGGAGATTATTCAATATCTAACATATATCGTTGGGGTGTGTTTCTGCTGTGGATTTATTGGTTTGTTGCTTGTTAATTTTGTGTGGTCAAATTGAGACTTTGCAACTTTGTTGTGTTTGTGTGAAGTGTGGTGTGGTTTTTTCTTTGTGTGTGTGTGTGCGCGCGCAATGTGGCTGCCCTTTGAGGCTCACAAAAAAAAGAGGGCACAAAATTAGAGGTGAGCATGAGTCGGTACTATTAAAAAATAGACAAATCTCTGGAACCGTACCAAAATTTGGAGATCACTAAATTCGATCTCTGGAACCGTACCAAAAAATCGAAACAGTTTGGTTTAGAGATTTTTATTTTTCGGTTCGGTTCAGTTCGGTATTCGGGACTATCGGAACGATTCGGTTCGGTTCGGTTGGTTCGAATCTCCGGATATTCCTAATTATTTTTTATTTTTTTGAATGACTACCTAGTTATATTTTAATTTTTATATGTTTTAAAAATAATCCAACATTCATCAATACTTCTTCATATTAAAGATTTTAAATAATATTTTTAAAATAAAAAAAATTTAATTGTAGATCAAGTATTACTAAGACACAAATTATCCAAGAGTTCACATCCATAATTCCAAATACAAATCCCATAATTTACAAACCACAATACCATACGACATATTTTAAATTAGTTGTGAATTTTTCATCAATACATGTGTAATACCAAAAGGCATTGAACCTTTGCCGTCCTCGAGCAGTGAGTGTCGACGTGTCGTAGTATTATTATTAAACTGATAGATATTATGGTAAAAATATCTATCAGTTTATTTTTATTTTAAAATATATCATCTTTAAATAAACATTTTCAAATTTTGTGAAAGTTTTTTTTCATAAAGGCGGAATTCAAACATTCTAAATTTGAATTTGGTTTATAGTTAATGATTTTTTGAATAAAATTTGACACGTTGGTTACCAAAATTTATGAGAGCAAAAGTATATTAATTTAATTTTTTTTTCAAACTAATGCCTCACATGCAGTAAAAAAATAAAATAATTTTTGTTCAATCATTTAGTTATATTAACATTCAATAGTGGAGGATTTTTGCAATTCAATTTTAAATATAATATATGATAGTTTATGAACATACCCCTAATGTATATGAATTTTATTTGCAATTCAACTTTAAATACAAATATATACAAAGATGAAAAGAGCATAAGATGAAATATTATATGTATATGAATGTTATGAATTAAAACAGGTTCTTGTTCGGTTCTCGGTTCAGTATGATTTTATTTTTTTTTTTGTTCGGTTCAGTTCTCGGTTCGGATATTTCATGAATCTCCAGAACCATACCAAATATTTTTTCGGTATGGTTCGGTTCGGATGAAGTTAAATGGTCAACGAATATTTTTCAGTTCGGGGTGAATTCAGTTCGGTTTTCAAAACGGTTCGGTAACCTCTGAGTCCCGTGCTCAGCCATACACAAACTTCGTGCATGTTCGAATGATCGGAAATCTAGAAATGAAAATGAAATTTTTTTCTCTAATTTTTGCCTCGAATTCAAGAAATTGTATAATAACATGACTTGTAAAGTCATAATTGAATTGAGAAAGAGAAGAAATAAATAAAACAAGAATAAAATGTTGCATATATGGAAGATATCTATATATAATTCATTTATTTGTGTTTATTATTCGTAAATTTATTTTATTAATAACAATGTTATTCAATGTATCTCAAAACCGCCATACAGTTTAAAATCTCAACCGCCCTTTTAACGGTTGCAAACAACCATTTAAACTATTCAGACCCTACATTCTGTAAACAGAAAAATCTATCAGAAATATTTTCCAAATCCCGCAACCATTTAATCTGGCCCTCGCCACCAACCCCACCACCAATCGGCTGCGGCGCTTGGCCACCAAGCGTCCGCCACCAAAAAATTATTATTTAATAAATAAACAAACACGTACGAAAAATGACGACAAACACAAATTTCGACATGTTCACATTTGTCGAAAATCCTTCGCTCGTCCCATCAAATGTAGCAGTGGCGTCTACTGACGAGCAATACTATTTGGATTACTCGAACAACGAACATCAAAATCACGATCCGAATAGTTTTATGGACTCTGAGGATCCAATTTGGGATCCTATGATTTGGGCCTTGTGCAATGAGCCCATAAACTCTGTTTCGACCAATTTACAGGGAGAAGGCACAAGCGGCAATAATGGCAATTTTAATATTGATAATGTTATTCCAATGCCGCTCTCAGTTTCTCATGTTCCGTCGACTCAATATAATTGCACTTGCTGTCAGATACTCAGAGAGATTACTCATTCTAATGGCAAGTGAGAACTTAAAAGTTTTTAATATTGATCTCTTCTTCTTTTGGTAGTTTGAAGTAATTATGAAATATAATTGCAGTTAAATTTTATCCTGTTTGTTTTAAGTACAATAGGCGTGAACGTGAAGAGGCTTGAGATTCATGGGAGATTTGGAGTGATAATGCACGCGATTCTCGGGATATATGAGTTAAATTCATCTTTACAGTGCCAGGACACACAAATGTTTGAGTAAATGCCTTTTTCTGTTTTTCTTTTTTTTTTTTTTTTTTCTAATCTTAAATTAAGTATTTATTCAGAGTGAAAGAAAAAAAGAAAGAAATAAATAAATGAAGTTTCAGTAGTCTGAAGGTTTTAGTTACATTTGTGGCGTCGTCTAATAGCTTTCGAAACGAGAGTACGCAAATGGTGAAGAAGTTCATGGTACAATACTTTGAAGCTTGCAAGCGAGAGGGGTACAACATTGTACAAGATCCTCTCTCGCCGTTTTATGAAGCCCTTTGCGTTGGTCTGAACGAATCTGACAATCTCGATGATTTTCTTCAGTCTTCGCCGGATAATGAAGGTTAGTATATTATATTTCAGTTCTCAAACAGACTAATTTTATCACCTGTGTAATTTGATATTTGGCTATTTCAGGCGACTACCAAAATTGCCCCCAGGAACCTTTGCAAGAGCCCGAAGGCGAAAGCAATCAAATGGGGTCTACGAAAATACCCCTCTCAATGCAGGTAATTTTCTGCTATTGATTGATAGACTGAAATCCCATTACAAGATTTTGACTTCATACTGTTTCCTTTTTTTCATATTTTTCTTTTCTGGAAGAATCGGGATTGAAATCCTAGAAAACTTGACTACAGTTAATGTAAAGCGCGTGCATTATCTTTGTACGGAAACATTTCTGTTTTTCTATTTTTTTATCGGTCACATGTGTATGGTTAAAGGATTTTGCTTTTTGAAGAGGGAAAGAACTCGAAACTTGAGGATGAAGGACTTTGTGCAGTACTCTGATCTTCCAATAGAATACGCTGCCCGAAAAATGAATCTGTGCCCAACGGTCGTGAAGAAAATATGCCGCAAGAATGGGGTGGAGAGATGGCCTTACAGAAAGGTTTGTCCTTCTCTGCAATTATTTATACACCTAAAAATTCTTTTTACAACGATGTGCTTGACCGATCTTCATGTATTTTCGTAAGTGCAGATAAAAAGCTTAAGGAGAAAATTATCCAAGAAAAAGAAAATCTTGGATTCAGCAAGTGATGCCAAGGAAAGAGCTCAGGCTCTGAAGGATATACAAGAGCATGAGGAGGAACTTGCTGAGATTTATATACCATTCAATAAGTAGTAATACTATTTTACTTATAGACTCAAGTTGTGTAAGAATATTTCTCTTGTTATAGACTCTTTGTTAAGTAGGGATGGACTTTTTGGTTCCCTTTTTTTTTTATTAATTCAAACATAAAACAGTTCAAGAGAACAGTGAATGGTAGAAATGATTGAACAAGCAAGAATATAATTAACAATATTACTATAATAGCAAATGCAGAAATGATTGGGTGGTTTGTGGCCATATACTTTGCAAAGGCCTGTTTTTTGTGCAATTTTCTTTGCACATTTGGTCAAATTTTTAATCATAAATCTAACTCCCAGGTACAGAAACTTAGTCATATACACATTATAATATATGGCTATTGTTTATACAGTTTATGAATTTAAATCTATCCTGATAAAAATAAAATGATGCATATTTTCAGTCCGCGTTGATGGAAAAGCTATGTCACAATATTATTCTAATACATGATAACTCTTCTTTAGGTGGTGATTGGTTATAAAAAAAAACTTTGTTGTCACCATGAGAAACACAATAAACAATAGCAAAAATTTAGGTGGTGATTGGTTATAAAGATTTTTTTGTATTGATTGGATTTATTGGATAAAGTGGTTTAATTTGGAAAAAAAAATTGATTTGAATGTGATTTTAAATTTGTATTTAAATAATATTACAATGTAATGATTAAAGTTGAAGTAATGTAAAAGTATGAGAGCGATTATTGAAAATCATATGTAATTAAAATTATGTTTGGTTGTTGTGTATTCGTATATTTGTGCATTTTGATTTATAATATAATCTATCGTTTTGAAAAAATAAATAAATACATGTTTACTATATATTTTGAAAACTTTTACAAAAATACGACATTCAAAATAATATCATACATAAGCTATTCGTAAACTAGATATAAACAAAAAAATTGTAATTGAAAATTAATGACAAATATAAATAAAAATAAACCATCCACAAAACATAAAAGTTAACATATTTGTAATTAAAATAAAAAAATATCATAAATATAAAAATAAAGTGATATATGAAGGTAGATGGCTTAATTTTCTCTTAAAATTATGTGAGATATATTATTAAAACTTTTAAAAATAAAATAATGTAATAAAATGAGATATTTGTAATTTTCGGCCGCCGTGTGTGATGCCGAGGCCGATGTCCTTGTCTCCCCCCTTCGAGCATTTTCATTCTGGAACCGACCTAGCGGCCGGTTCTTCTTGTGTTTGGGGTGGGTGGCTGATTCTTCTAGTGTTTGGCGGGTGAGTGGCTAGTGGGTTACGGCCGTTGAGTACTGATTGAAGGTGATCGTTTGCATGGAAGCCTAAATCGAGGCCGAGAATCTCAGATATGGCTAGCCATAGCCGATTTGAAGTGTTGAGTTTCTGGACTGGTATTCTTGATTGTGATTGGGTTTTTTTTTTGTGGATTATCTTTGATTTGTTGTCTTGGGTGGTTGTAGTGAAGGTATTGTAAGGCAGTGAGTGGGCAGAGCTTTATTGTATTATTTANTTTATAAGTTTTTCACAAAATTTATGCTATATTAACATATATCAAACTTTTGTACACTAATTTGTGAAAAAAACAAAGAAGTTACAGGATAAAAACTGAATTATTTAAATCTATCAAGAGTTGGATGCAGACCGATCAGAGACTGGATGACCCGAAAATTGAGTTGTGTGCATAATTTTTAAAAAAAATTAAATGTCGAAACGAATTTCGGTTGGGTTGAGATTTTGTGGGTACAACCACCTCCACGAGTTGAATCAAATGAAAGGTCATCCGACTGAAATGGACGCTAGAGATCGTTGAATATTGAACAACCCAAATTACTCTAGATGAGACAAATCCAAAGGAGCGTCAACCTTTGACTGAAGTGAAATTTTGTGGTTACGCCTCTCTCGATGAGACAAATCCAAAGGAGGGCCAATCGATTAAAACTTACGCCAGACAACTGAATGTCCCACAAACCAAGAACAACAAATTTGGGCTCAACTTAATGAAAAACTTAGTAGTCAAACGAATTCAAGATGGGCAAAAAATTTGTAGGTACAACCGTCTGCAACATAAGAATCCAACCGTGAGTCAATCAAGTAAAACGGATATTGGATGGCACTGGACAAATAAAATATGATTGTGGTAAAATTTTGTAACTATCACCTTATTGACGAGACAATCCAATGTTAGATCATTGCTAAATTTCTACTAATCTCTTGCGTCTCCAAATTTGCAATTGTTAAAGAGGTTCAAGTCAATTGGTTTTATTGACAATTCTCATGGTTTGTGCAAACATGATGGGCAGAAAAACCGAGCAACTCTGCAAACGTTTGCACCAGCAGAGCAGCCTAAAAATGGAGTTCGATATGGATAACGATTAAATTCCGTCCTAATTTCGGAAAGAAAAAATAGGAAAAAAAAAAAAAGTAACGTAAAAATGTAATAAAGATACAAAACTCAAATGAAGCTACCGATTGGGGAGGCCGTTGAGTTTTCTAAAACAGTTACGAGCAGCACAGCTATACCAAATAAGTCATCCAAGAGTTAACTCTGACATGTGAGAAACAATTAGAACCACCACACACACGGCCAAGTAAGTTTTCCCACTGTACACACGCTCTAAATCGTACAACAACACAAACAGAAACCCCAATTAAACAACAACTCACCAAGAATGAGCCCCTATCCTCACCTTCTTCCGGAAGGTTCTACACGCCTCGACACTCAGATTCACAGCCCCCGCAAGCGCCATAAATATAGCCGCGTCCTCCACGCATGTCACATGCCTCATCGCCAGCTGTACCAACGGCTTGCTCGGTTTTCCCTCCCCTTGCACCCGACACCTCATCACAAACCCACCCTCCACCGGGCCCAAGCCCGCAAAATCCCCACTACTCTGCGGGCTCGGGCCCTGGCCCGGCCCAGTTCGGGCCTGGGCCTGCTGCTGGTCAGTGTCTATGAAAAACTCCCCACCCTTTTCAGCACTGAGCAGGATTTCCGAGATGAGAAACTCACCACCGTCAGCGAAGACGTGAAAACGGAAGCAGACGGAGTCTCGAATCCCGCGTTCGCGCTCGCGCCAAGCCTCGAGTTTTCCCCAAGGGAGCCAGCTTTCGGGCCTGCAGGAATCGGGCCTGACTATGAGCCAAGCGCCTGGGTTGGACTTGGCAACCCAGTCGCGGCCCGTTGAGGGGACAAAGGGAGTGGTTATGAAAGCAGCAGCTACTGCTGAGCCTGAAAGGTCGTGTATTTTGACTCTCCAACCTTTGCGTTCTCGTCTCTCGCTGTCTTGGTCAACGGAGTTTGACCAGAGTGGGTCCGCCGCCTGGGATACCCTGAAGAATTTTTTGAAAATTACGAAATTATCCCATGTTTGATTCTTCTCTTTACATTCGAGCAGGCATAGGTTAATCTTTACATTTGAAAGATGTGACGGCGGTTTTATATTTGTAAATGCTGTGAAGAAATATACCAAGTGGGCAATTAAGTTACAAGAATCAGGTTCTGGGATTTGGGTGTACCAATATTTTTCAAAAATTACAAAATGATCCCTTGTTTAATTCTCTCTTTACATTCGAGCAGGCATAAGTTAATCTTTACATTTCAAGATGTAACAGGGGTTTTATATTTGTAAATGCTGTGAAAGAAATATACCAAGTGGGCAATTAAGGTACAAGAACCAGATTCTGGGATTTGGGTGTACCAATATTTTTCAAAATTACAAATGGTCCCTTGTTTGATTCTCTCTTTACATTCAAGCAGGTATGAGTTAATCTTTACATTTCAAAACGTAACATCGGTTTTATTTGTTCTAAAACAGTGAAGAAATATACCAAGTGGGGAATTAAGTTACAAGAATCAGATCAACCAAATTACAGAATACATAAAAGGAATAAGTATGCAAGCATTTTCCAAACTCACCTGTCTCGACTGAACTTGCAGCTAAAAATCGGTTGCTTCACATTGCCCTGAAGCTGAACAATCTGGGGACTCAATTTAGTGTCATCCTCAAACTGAAACACATATCTAGGGTCAGGGTCCAATTTCACCCTCAAATGAAGCTCAGCACCCAATTTCCCGCTTTTCCCAATCCCAATCCAGCCCTCGAAAAGAACAACGGGCTTTCCCTCAGCCCATTCAGGGCCCACATTCAGCCTAACCACCCCAATCTGCTGCCTCTTCAGGCCCACACCACAGTGGCTTCCTTTTCTCCCCATAAAAACTACTATCTCTAAGCAAGCTTGTGGCGCATAAAAACATCCAGGCGCCAAAAGGGCTTTCAGGTCCGATTCTTCTAAATAAAAACTCGAGGCCACGCTGTAAGAATTCGGTGTTGCTTCGGGTGATGATATGAAAGGGACTTGTGTTGTCTGAACAGGAAAGCCCCTTAAACGGATTTCGCACACGCATGGTGAAGAGAATAAAGAAATATCGGATTTCGGAGATTTTGGAGGTGCACTAGGAACTCTGATTCCCAAACACCCAATCGAAAGTCTGATGAAAGCCTGAGGATCCATTTTTTCTGTCACAACTACTTTTCCATTCTGCTGAAAGTTCGTAGCACGAGCTTTAAAGGCCTGTCGAATAAATCACTGAGAATTAGGATAAGGAAAGAGTAGATTGTTGTAGAAAACAACTGAATTTACCAAAAAAATGTTGCAGAAAAATAAATGTGCTTCGTTTTTGTCTAAAATGAGCCGTTTTCACATGGCACACATGATAATTAATGATTCTATCCAATATATCTTAGAAAAATCCAGTTGTCCAAAATAATGACAATGTGCCAAACTGGTCCATATCCCATACACAGTGGAATAAGATAAAGAGGCACGAGGTGGAAGAATGGAATGAAAAGAATAAACAGTAAAAAAATGGGAAATAAAAACAGAATTTGAGAACTCATTAACTTTAGAACAAAGGTTTCACGAATCGGATACATGGCAAGAATCTTATGCCAAGACGATTTAAGAAATGATTAGGAAAAGTAAGCTGGAGTTCTTGTTTATACCTGATGTCGTTCATACAAAACGATAGTATAAACTACTTGAGTATATAAATGATTACTTTGTTCCCAGAACATGCTTCAGCTTCACAAATAAACACATGATGGTAAAAGAGAGAAATGAAAGGAATCGTGGAACTAAAGACGAGTGTGGGTCTCATTGTTCCTAGTTTATGTATGATGGACTAGACGTGGAGCATTTAGGTCTCATGAAACACCAAATGCTAGCTAAATTCTACTTCAGTTAACACACATAACATAAAAGAGTTATGCAGTGTGATGGATTCTTGCAACTATGTGCAAAATTATAATACTTTGTTGGCCAACTGGTTTTAAAATAAAATAACTAGTTTTGCACCCGTATAAGCAGCTGTAATTTCACTGTCCCCCTTGACCACCTGCCACATTTTGTCTGAACATAGAATATTTACCACAGCCAATCCAAATGCAAAAATTCTTTTGAATTAACAATTCTCGACTAATTTTTTTTCTGCAGTAATTTCAATCTTCTTTTTAGTTTATTTTCTGAAATTGTGGCTCATTTTTTCACACATCTTGTGCCTCATACAGCAACTAAACATGCCACTCGATTGACGCTAAAATCAGAACAAAAACCAACAAAACTTCATCACGAACCATTAATTGAAAAGTAAACAAGCAATTATATCAAGATTCACTCAAAACCCAAAAGAATTTAAAACTATGTGAAACACATTTCAGGTGCTCAAAACAAAATAACACGCAACAAGATAACAAAATCGGACAAATAATCTACCTTTTGCTATAAGTAAATCCTTCTCCACACTGGAAACCCCAGCACGAACTCATCCCCAAAAGCTGCGAAAATTCCCATGACCCTTTACAACACAATTTTCCTTGTAAGACAAAGCTCCTATTCCTGAGTTACACTCTGCTTTCTGCAAAATAAACACGCACTCGAATGGGTTGAATCTTTCCTTTTTTCCTTCCTTTTTACAGATCCAAGAAAGATAATGCGGAGTGACAAAAAATTCAAAAGGGGGAACTTTGATAAATAAAAGGCATTGATAATTGGGCCAAGCCAATAAACACAAACCCCAATATCAATTACACACACTGATGAATGAATGAATACTGCGCAACAGAAGTGTGATTGGGTATATATTTATTATCTATTTTCCACAGTGTACGTGAGCGGAGACAGTGAAGGATAATCGCCGTTTTAACTTCGTATACTTTTTAAGTTTTAACGGACGCAAGTGGAGGACAGGCTATATTTCCATGTTTTCATATTTTTCCCACATCAATCCTAATTACTTAATAAGTGTAGAAAAAATTTCTCTTTAATATTTTTGTTTTCGCGTTAATAGAAAAAAAAAAGTTAATAAAGTTTTTTTAGTTTAATAATGCTTGTTTCGGCTAACACGTGTCCATCTTATTCTTCAAGACGATAATTATATTAACAATTCAATTCGAGATATTAAAAATCAAAATAAAATCTGGATCAATCACTCATTGAAATTATACGGTAATCAAAGAATGTACGAACATCCAGAAAACAAAAAAAACACCATTAAAGAGATAAAATAACTCCATAACCTGGGTTTGATCGTTATGGGGTATTGTGTCCTCGTGGACAATACTTTATATTCATTAGGTTTATATTTCAAACAACCATCACTTGACACTTATATAGGCGACATTTCTATCAATAGTATCATATATTACCACTTTTAAAAGGTTAGAGATTAATTAAAATAAAAGCCCATAAAACTTACCCTTACCACAATCAACAGATAATCACACACTTGAATTGCTTTGGGAAAAGCCTTTGGATAATCTTTATGCTTCAAGTGCTCAACAAAATTTTCATAACTCAATTTTCCTCTTGAACCAAGTTCGTGGGATCTCCATTCAGCAAGTTAGGTTTACCACTATAATCATTCTTTTCATTGTGGTTTTTTAGGCTCATTTCTTCAAGCAATATTCTCAATTGATCTCTATTTATTCCTATAGAGCACGTTTGTTAGGGTAGACGTGACAAGATAATTTTTATCATGTCTACCAAGATTGCACTGTAGAGATATTTGTTGTGTATGATTGACACAAGATAAGATTATGTGCATATAATGTGTGATGCATTTGTTATCTTAGACAAACGATAGGATAAGTAGTACATTTACCAATTTGGGTCGTCTCGGCCGAACAGAATCGAGCAGAATGGTCGTGATCGACCACTACACAGATGGAGAACAGTCAGGGATCGACCTAGGAATGGTCGAGCATAAGAGCCTTCAACAGGATTCAGAGGAATCTTTACCCCATGTGCGGAGGACACGTGGCGCAATGTAATTGGTGTATGGCGATAACAGCCTCTGACACCCTCTAAAAGAATTCCTCTTCACAATTTCTACAAACAACAAGAAGTAGGATTTTTATTTCTGTCTTTTCCATTTTTCCAAAGATTCACCATCTATTAACCTGTATTTTCTTTCCAAATCCTGTCAAACAGAACACCACAGATTTGCTCTCATTTCAATTCTTCGATTATAATTGCCATAGGAGAGGAGCAAGATCATCGTTTGAAGGCAAAAACAACAATTTCCTGCATCTTTTTTTTCTTTTATTCATTTTTATTTTTTTATTTTTGTCTTCCCCACTTAGCAATTGGGGAGTCGCGGAGAAGTGGGCGAAAGGTTCGAGAGGAAGAGATGAAGGAATTGGGCAGTGCATGTGTGTACAGCGTGGTTGGTGGTGGACGGAGGATGGGAAGGTGTCGATCTGAGGTTGCTGGGAGGGCAAAAGTGCAGCGGATATGAGGCGGAGCGCCAGTGAAAAGTGCCATAAAAGCGGCGAAGGTGGCAAGTGCGGGCGAAGGACGGCAACGGGTGGTGGCAGCGATGATAGTTCATACAGGGAGGATGAGATAAATGGTGGGTGCTAGTAGGAAAGGTTTTTCAGAGTAAGTCTGTAATTTCCTAATTTTTGAGTGTACAGACACAAATTATCTCACCCCCTACGGTCAGATCAAACTGTCCTGGGAAACCACGATTTTTCTACTGTGCATTGCGGGCCCAATTTTATTTACCAGCCCTAAATCGTGGGAAACAAACGTGCGATAAAAGGTGGATTGAAGGCCCAATCATGTCATGTCCGGGCTAACAAACGTGCTCATAGTAAAAGGATGAGCCAAATTTTCTGTAGAATTAATATAGTCAATGAAAATAATACCATTTATGATCAATTTGGAAACGATACTATGTCTACAACGAATATGTCTAGACTTACTGTTATATATGTTGCTTTGAATCCTTTCTATATTAGCTTGGCTATCACAGTGATTCATCACAGGCGGTAAAGGCTTACTCCAACATAGAATATCGGATAAAAATTTCAAAGTCATTCGGCTTCTTCACCAGCTTTTATCTAAAGCGATGAACTTCGATTCCATGGATGACCGAGCTACACAAGTTTATTTTGTGTTATTTTGTTGATTTCCACGGATCCTTCTTCATTACTAAAAATATATTTGTTCGTGGAGTGAGAGTCCCTCGAAGCTGATATCCAGCTTGCATCACAGTACCCTTCAAGTACACTTGTGTATCTCGAGTATTTTAGAACGTACTCATTGGTGTACTTCAAGCACTTGAGTATCCTTTAAAAAGCATTTCTGTGCTCATGACTTGGATTGCTCGTATATCTACTCAACTTATTCAATAGACAGGCTAAGTCTGGTAGGGTACAATTCTTTAAGTACATCAGACTCTCTATTATCCGTGAATATTCTAACTCAGCTATTGGTTGGCCTTCATTAGCTATCGAAATTAAGCTAATATCAAGGGGTGTCCTAGACAGTGGACCGTCATAGGCGTTAAATTTCTTGAGCACATTCTATATATAATGAGATTGTGATCAGACAATTCCATCTTGAGTTTTGATAATCCTTATTCCAAGAATTACATCAACTATACCTGTATCTTTCATGTCGAAATTTCCTTTCAACACTCTTTTCGTATTCATGACTATTTCATGGCTACTCCCCATGATCAACATATCATCCACATATAGACATACAATTACAAATGTATTTGATGTACTCTTAACATAAACACATTTGTCACTTTCGTTGACTTTAAAACCATTTAACAACATCACAATATCAAATTTTAAATGTCATTGTTTCATAGCCTGTTTCAGTCTGTAGAAGAATTTGATCAATTTGCACAATTTTTTCTCTTGTCCAGGTGCTACAAAACCTTTGGGTTGTTCATTATAAATTTCTCCTTCCATTTCACCAATTAAAAAATTCGTCTTGACATCCATTTAGTGATTCTGTAGATTATGCAAAACAGCAATCGAGAAAAGCACTCTTATTGAAGTTATACGCGTAACTGGTGAATAGGTATCAAAGAAGTCATACCATTCTTTTTGTTTACTCCCAATTCCATTTTGAATGAGATGTGTGTTTTTAGTCAAGTGTATGTTCGTAGTTTATTTATTTATGCAAACATAGTTCCTTTATTTTATATTGTAGATAATATGGTTCGATGTGCGAACAGAAATATCATATTATCTGTGATGTGTAAAGACCTCCGACCGGCTGGAATCAGCTTGATCTCGAGCTTCTCCACCAGTTGAACGCCTTTAGACTTGCAAAAACTCTCACACCGGATGGGTTTTCCGTTGAAGAGCCTTTGATGCTTAAATGAGCACTTGTAGAAGATGATAAAGTGTAGAAAGTGTATAGAATATGAACGTAATGACTGAAATTGCATATCTCACCCCTGGTTGAGGTATCTGCTTTTAGAAGACTGTTCGGATGTGGTGAGTTGACTGCCCGAGCTGCCCAAGAGTATAGTCTGCACTGCCCACTGTCAGAGGTGGTTGCAGAATGCGAACCAATCAAGTAGTGCCACGTGTAGCACTAATTATGGTCAGATTTCTTTTTATCCCATAATCCTTCGTAATAAACCACTTAATAATGCGACCCGCTCAAGGTCTGTCGAGGTAGAATGCTGGTTGTCCTGGACCAAGTGTTGCTCCTTTTGGTTGATTACACGACCAACAGTGCATACAGGTCGAGTTTCTATCAGGCCATCCGAGGGCCCTAGTTCGACCTGCTTCCCTGTACCCTTTATGTTGACTTCCAGATCGAAGGCTCTTAGTCCTGAGTTGTCGACGTTCGACCACTACCAGCCCTGGTGTGGTTCTGCTCGACCGGACGGCTCACTCGGCATAGTCGACCAGTTTATTCCCTTAGGTATGATATGGATATCATCTAATCCTCTTCACTCTGGTCGAGTTGGGATAACTCGATCCAAGATTAGATTTTTTTCCCTTGTCTTTCGGTTGGTATGATTTGCTCTTGAATCTTCCACCTGTTTACCCATAATTACTCCCCTTGTGCTCCACCATATTTCTTCGACCTACCTGCTTCTTATTCCACGCTTTTCGATCTCTTCCCTCTAAGGTCTTCGTTTTGAATTTCAAATATCAAATTTTTGTCCCATCGGATATGTCACCTTGTCAGGCTCGTTCAGTAACACGCCTCGATGACATCACTGCCCCGTGAATTTTGCTGCCTCGTACAACGTACCCATTAAATGCTTTATTAAATAGTAACCGTTAGATTTGCCTTTAATCTGATGGTTGGCCTATCCAACGGCCACATCCCTTTCACTTTGCCTCCTCAGACTCTACCATAATCGCCTTTGCCATTCCACGGTCGACAATTAACCAACTCTTCAGCGCACTGCTTCAATCCTGATTGCTGGCCCTCACCGCAATTAACGGTCAGGGTTAACTTATCCTTGCGTTGATTTTTCTATAAATACCCTCATCATCTACTTCCACTGGTTTTTCACCTTCACGATTCTCTCAACTCTATTTGTGCTTTTACTTGTTTAATTTCGGCAATCAAGATCTCTCCTTCTCCAGCGACCAGATTGACCGTTTTTCGAGTTTTTCCAGCGGCCCATTCAACTTTTAATGATGAGTAAGTCTTTCTATCTTTGATCTTTCATGTTTCAATTTTAATTTTCGTGTCTCGCTTTAGTCATGCTCCTTTTCCCTCAACTGCTCTTTATCCCACCAAAACCCTACATTTTTCCTCTTTAGTCATGCTCCTTTTCCCTCGATCGCGGTCAGGGTCTAGCGCAACGATTCACGGGAACGCGTGGATACTACTGACTTAGCCTAGCCAGCGCACGAGTTCAAAGGACGAGCCATGGCCACTGGCGCAGGGGCGCGCTGGACCAAAGCACGGACATGNGGCGCATGGACAGAAGCGCACGCTACGGGGCACTGGCTTGTGCGCGCGCGCAGCTAGGCGTCTGCGAGGCATTGGGCCTCGGCAGCGTGACTGGGCGCGGGCTGCGGCCTTAGGCCGGCAGCTCTCCGATCAGCCAGCGACTTTTTCTGGCGACCCTTGCTCATTAAATTCCTTAGGATGTCTAGAGTCCATTTAAGCTAGGATTACTCAGGAAATTATGCTTGCATTATAAAATTACTTGGTGCTCAAAACGAGCAAAACTAGGGTTCTAGTTCACCGGGAATCCTAACTCATTTCAAGCTGAAACATTAACCTTGAACTCAACATATTATAGGGGTATTCCAGATCTAAACAACTCAGCAAATATACATCATATAATGCCCCTAAAAATTCACCAATTCAAGGCTAAAGTCCCGATTTTTTAAGTATATCAAACGACCTCCAAAAATCCTCAATTTTTAAACACGGCCTCAACATGATATTTAAGATTTTTGGCTAAAATATCTCAGCAAGAATAGATATCTAACTCAATTAACAATATATGGTCATTATAGATTTTGATCTACAATTTCGGTTCACGTAGCAAATGATCTACGAAAATTCCCAAATTTAAACCTCGACCTCAAGACATTTTTATATGATTTTAGCAATTTAAATCACATTTTTATCATATCTACAACTCAAGATCTAAAAATCAAGCATTATATCACAATAAATCTAGATCTATTTATTCTACTCCATTTATCATGATTTTATATTTTTAAAATACTGTATAATTCTTTTCTCATCCATAGGAGAGAATTTATAGATCTACCTCTTAGAGGATTCAAAAACGAAAAAGGAAGTTGAAGGTGGCTTGGCTAGGGGCGCTAGGGCTGCTGGGCGCTGGGAGTTGTGAGCTACGGGCGCGGCCTGGGAGCTGCTGGACGCGAGCGCTGCGACTGCGAGCTGCA